AGACCAAAAACATGCATGTTAGGCTGATGGTAATGCTAAATTGTCCCTAGGTGAGAGAGTGAATGGTTGTTTGTCTCATTTGTCGCTATGCGTCCCTGTGATGGACTGGAGACCTGTCCAGGGTGTCCCCCACCTCTCACACAGTGACTGCTGGATATGGACACCACCGCCACCCAAAAAGGAAGAAGTGGCTAAAGATAATGGAAGGATGGATATTTTTTTCTTAGCTATGGATTAATGAAATCCTTTATTTAAAAAGTTGAGGCTCAACTGCTATAAATGATCTACCCTGGAAGGTTCAGCACCAAAATCATTTTAGGTCTATCCAGTCTGAATGTTCTTTGAACCCTACATTGAAATCCCTGAAAGCAAAGAACTGTAGTGTTTATTTTTGGACTGGAAGTGTCTCTGGACTGAAGAAGAAGGTATCACCACACATCTACAAGAACAGACTCTTTATTCCCTACAGGGCTGAAAAGGTTTCTGATACACACCATCCCCGGGCATCACCAGGACAGTTTCCTTTAGTATCCTGCAGCAAACCTTTGAACATTGGCTGAAAGATATGCTGGAGGGGGTCATGTTTGTAACCTGCTGTAAAAGAATATTTGTGAGGAAGACTCCAGAATGACTCATGACGTTCTTGGGGGGTTCTCAGTTTCCTCGCTTGAGTTGTAGAGACTCACAGTCTTGTCACTAGAATTTTGAGCATGCTTAAAAAAGAAAGTTTGAAAATCTGTTCTTAAAATAGTCTCAAACTCATCTCAAGAGCACCAGAGCTGTGTTTTGACACCTGCACTGGAGCTCTCCTCTGATAGAGAGCATGTCCAGGTCATGCAGATCACAGTTGTACAGTTCTGCGGTCCTATTTGCTGCAACACAATTCAGACTGAAACCTCATTTTGTTGTATTTTCTCGCAATATTGAATCAAGTTGCTAACTAATCTCCATCAGTCCCAGCCCAGTGAGATACTACCTTTAACTTAGATTGAGCTTTAATCCCAATACTAATTCATAGACTGGAGAAATTTTTTTTTAAAGTTGTCCTTTCTCCTTTTTTATTTGTTCTGGCCCATTTTTTAACTTAATTTTTTTAACCATTTATTCATAGTATCATGAACAATCATATCAAGTCTGCAGACAGAGACATTGTCAGATTAAAATAAACATTGATTTCATCTAACATGTACCACATCCTGCAGTAACTGTATGGATAGACAATGTTTCTGTAATGGTTGTCAGGGACACACGAGCTAAAAATGTTTTCTTTCAATCAAACCATCTACATCAAGCTGACGTTATAGAAAGCAAATTGATTTATTTTCTTGTTTTTTTGAGGACATAAATCTTGTTTTAAATACTTTTCCTGTTCTACTACAGTATACAAAGCTTCATCTTAAAATCTATATACAAAGTATTTATCCCCAGTTGCATGCTGAAGTATCCTTAGGAACGACACTAACCCCTCATCCTCCTCTGTTCTATGTTGATTTTGGGATGAAACCCATCTGCAAAAAGTACAAGTATTTTACATTTTAATGATTTTTTTTCTTCACTTTAGGTAATTTTAAGAGGCAAATAAAGATTTGGTTGGGCAGTGTAACTGTAAGCTAAATCAAGACAAGACAAATGACTAAATATAGAAAGAAACAGCAGAGTTTGTACTAAATACACCTCTGTTTGTCTGAAAAACCTCACTAAAATACAAAGTACATCTGTAGGATTGAATTCAAGGAACTCTTACCCTAATTGTTGTTTTTGTTCTTACACATAAACTATACAGAGTGATGTGAGCTTGTTCTGTACAAGTACACACAGTACACGCATCACTGATGTGCTTCTGGATGTTCAGGGTCAGCAGGAGAAAAAAGAGACAGGTGCAAACACGTCAACCTGAAACACTACTCTATTCTTTCCAACACACTCAGTCAGCACCCAGGTGGGAGAAATTAGATTTAAAAAACATATATTTTTCTTTTATAACCATTATTATTCAAATATCTCACCCTTAAATTAAATAAAATGGAATGGTAATACAGCAACCACAGAACGATACAAGAAAAGTGTCTAAAAGTTTAATGTGTAAAATATTTACTTGATTTTTTTTTTAACACAAAAATTCAGCATTTTACAAAACGTCTCCAAAAGACAACATAAAAATCATTCCCTAAAAATAAACTGATATGAGCACTAAACAGCATTGTTGACATCTTTTTTAATCTAATTTTTATTTCTGACTTTTTTTTTTATCCGTAGTTTCTGCAGAATTAAATGCAACCTGTGTTTTAAGATGCACACAAAACATTCTTACATCAGGCATTTTAGATAATACAGTTACACACTGTAAGAGAGACAGTGGTGGTCAGTCCAATCATAAACCAGCGTTTCAGACAATCATTCAATCTTCTTTTGTGCATATTTGCCTCATTCTTGTTACTTTGCATTAAAATATCACAGGTTAAATAACTACAATCATTTTGACATTAAATAACTGTTAAAAATGAAATCCAACCCTAATCATATAAATAATAGCAATAGTAATGTTCTTATAATTCTTTGTGTAGAAATAATTAGACATGGGTGTGTAGGTGTAAAAATCAGTTAGGGTCCAATGTGTGAGCAAACGACTTCCAAGTCATTTACATACATGTCGTCTGTTCTGTACATCATCAGCTGCAGTTTATGAAGGCGCTGACCAGTCTGCACAAGGTTCTTGTATTTAACTTGTTGCCAGGTGCGTTTCAGGCCATCAAATGGCCACCAAACATGCACCCATGTTTGTGTCTTATGAACATTAAATGAGAAAAAATATTCTCTGTTGAAAATGACGAGATTTAAATGAACTTTAAATAATCTTTAAACTTTAAATAATGAATTTTAAATAATTGGGGGGAGTGTTGGCGCAGAGGTTAGAGAAGGTGGGCCTGTGATCGGAAGATCGCCGGTTCACGCCCCGGTACCGACAACATCAAAAATGTGGGTGGGGTAGGTGAAGCACCCACACTCGCCTCCACCCTCATTCGCCCCACTCTGGACCCAAGCAAGGCCCTTAACCCCCATCTGCTCCCTAAACAGGTCTCTCTTGTAAATGGGTTATCGTGGCTCAATGAGACTACCTGTATAAATAAAGGCTAAATGAAAAAAAACAAAACTTGTCTTCTTTGCAATATTTGAGGTCTGAAAATGCTGCATAAAGGCATCCTGCTCTGATCTTGCTCCTCTCTGGCACCATGTAGGAGAAAAACAGTAGATTGCCAGTTAGCAAGCTAAACAGGCAGAAAGTTAGTTGTTTTCCACACTTAAGTCTGCTTGTGCTGTTCAAACGCGATCCCTCATTAGCGAGGCTAAACAGGGAAGAGCGAACTTAGCTGTTAGCAAGCTAAACAGGCTAGAAGTCAGCAAGGCAGAAAAGTGACCGTAAGCTGGGCTGAACGGGGTAAACAGATGCTGCAAGTTAGCAGGCTAAACGAGAAGGATCAGACCTTGTGGCGACGCCCTGGGCAGGGAACAAGCTCACCTCCAGTCGGACAGCTAAACCACATACAAGGGACCTGCAGTCAAGTTAAAGCGAGGTAAAGTGCAAAAAGATTAGGGAAATGAGACCACGCTGCATATTTATAACCTAAGAGGGCGGGGCTTCCTGTGTATGCAGCAGTCTCATTTGCCTTGACAGGCGTGTTGAAAGAAACTTCTTCAGGTTGGTCTTGCGAGGGCGAAATCCCCTTACTACTGTGTTGTACCGAGTGTACTGACCGCAGGGGAACCATGGTTCATTTCCTACTGTGGGTGACAGTAACTTCCACTGCTCATTTTAAGGTGAAGTGTGCAACTGTTCATTTTGAAATTACTTGGAAATGGACTCAGAGTGTGCTTTTAAAATTATTTGCACTTTCAATCGGTCCACTATAATTTGCCACCGCCTTTCTCTCTGCTTAATGACGGCAGTGGTATTTCCTTTTTATTGATCATGTGTTTCAATTCAATTCAATTCAAAAATACTTTATTAATCCCAAAGGGAAATTATTTGTTGTTGTAACTCGTTATCCTCATTTCATTAAGAGATGTTATAGATGCTGATGGCTGTAGACAGGAAGGATCTCTTGTAAAGGTCCATCCCACAGTGGATCATAAGAAACTGGCTTCATCTCATATGTATCCTGGATTATCCGTTGCTCTGCTGGAGAGAATTGGGATGCGCATGTCTTGCTGTCCATGTTTAATCAGGAAATCTGTAATCCATCGTCTTATAGGAAAACCGTGAACTCATTCATCCGAGATGATTTAAACTTGGATTGAATTGGCGGACTCATTTAAGCATGGCTTGACGTTTCTGCAACCATTTAAGCTTGCTTGCGAGTTTAAGTGCAGCTTCCTGCCGGTATCCTGGCTGTATAAATCCTACGTTCATGCAACGGGTCAGTAGAGCTATTGCCTCTCAGTGAGAAAGTTGTCGGTTCAAATCCTGGTCCGGGGGCCTTTCTGGGTAGAGTTTGCATGTTCTGTCTATGCATGTATGGGTTTTCTCCAGGTACTCCGGTTTCTTCCCACAGACTAAAAACATGCATGTTAGGCTGATTGGTAACTCCCATGTGTCTCTAGGTGTGAGTGAAAGAGTGAATGGTTGTTTGTCTCGTTTGTCTCTTTGTGTCCCTGTGATGGACTGGAGACTTGTCCAGGGTGTACCCCACCTCTTGCACAGTGATGGCTGGACATGGGCACCAGTGACCACTGCGACCCAAAAAGGAAGAAGCGAGTAAATATAATGGATGGATGATTCTGGATTTGTTAGTTTTATTATTTTTACAGTCATAAATTGGTTTCATCCTTCTGAGCCTCCCAGTTTAATATAAAATAAACCTATAAGTAACTCAGCCATGGACTCCCATGTGTTTCTGGTGTGCAGCTGTATGAAGAGCAGACTCATGTAACAGTACTATATATTTATTTCCTTGGTCAAACAAAGAGTAAACTTTGTTTCTTTGTTCTTCTTTTTGTTTCAGTCACTGATGAAGACACGGTGAAGAGATACTACGCAAAGTTTGAGGAGAGGTTTTTCCAGACCTGTGAAAAGGAGCTTTTGAAAATCAACACATTTTATTCAGGTAATTGTTTACTTTTGTCATTTTAAGGTTAAAATTAAAGAAAAATATATGAACTTTCAATGAGATCACCAGTAGGCAACTGGAAAATTCAAATTATTTTATAGGCATCTAAAAAAGTATATTTATTTTTTCAGCAGGCAAACCAATCATAAAAATAAAATCCTTTTCAGTTTCAAAAAAATTTTTAACAGCAGAAATTAATTTTTCCATGAAAAGTGTGAGTGGTGGTGCAGAGAAGGCGAGCCTCTAATTCGGTGGTTAGTGGTTGCATCAGGAAGGGCATCCGGCATAAAAACAATTGCCAAATCTTTGTGCAAGTTTGCTCGCTGTGGCAACCCCTGAAGAAGGGAGCAGCTGAAATAAGAAAATATATTAATGTCAAAAGAAATACGTATGAGAAAATATTTTTTTACAATGTGTGATCAGATGCCTTTAAGTTGAGAAATAAATGAGATAAAATAAAATAGAAATGTTTTTAAAACTACTCAAACCCAGGGGTGTCAAACTCACTTACAAAAGGGGCCAAAATTAAAACTGTTTTCAAACTAAAGGCCAATTTCAGAAACAACATGAACTCAAGTCAGATACCCAACATCTTTTCTTGGTCACAGGTTCCTCAACAAGAGTTTGATTGGTCTTATTTGATGTTCTCTGTTGTGCTTTCAACATCATAATCAAAGATTATTGAACAAATTTAAAAGATAGAAGTATTTTACGTTTCACAAAACATCTTGGGGGCCAGATAAGATGTCAACGAGGGCCACATTTGGCCCCCTGGCCTTGAGTTTGACACATATGTTCTAAACAAACGTAAACCAGATTTTTTTTTTACCTCTGTCTGAAATGCACAAAAATTGCAAATTCCCTGTTGTTTAATAAAAAAATGGCTGTGTTTTAGCTTAATTTTACTAAGAAGACCAACTATTTTTGTTTCGCTGGAACATACCTGTGTGGTAGCTCTCTTCACAAATAAATCTTCTGCATGTGAAGATAAGATCTATTCTGTCTCAAGTCTGTTCTCACAAAACAGTTCTGAAGATATGTCTGTAAAGACAAGTCCCTCTTTAATCTGTCTTTGCTCTTTCATAATTCATAAATCAAGCCACCCACCTCCAGTAAAGATGTGAGATTTCATTAACGAAGAACCAAAGGAAAAATTAAGTACCACTGGTACCATGCTGAGCTACCATGCTGAGCTACCATGCTGAGCTACCATGCTACCCAGCATTAATGTGGAGCATCACACATAAAATAAAATTCACCTTCCGTCCCTTGTCTGGTTGCACAGATCGTTTGGCTTCACTGCATCATAATCCCAATCCCCAAAACTGGCTCATTGTCTCACAAGTCACCTCCTGTAATGCTGTAACTATCTCACATGCTGGCTCAGAGGCATGACAGCAGTGGGCTGACTTTAATACACACACACAACACACAACACACAACACACACACACACACACACACACCGTGCTGTCTCTGTCTTTTCAGAAACCACACCAAAACAGCCAGGATGCATCTCAGGTCCAGTGGGATTTGCAAAAAGGGATTCAGTAGATGCAACTAACAAAAATCTATTTTATATGTCCACCCATACTTGATGATCATCAGCAAGTAATCAATGCAAAATGATCCACTTTAGAAGTCCTCAAACCTTAGAAACGTTCACAACACTATGAAAGACTCGTCGTTTTTCATTAATTATGATCTGAACTCAATTATCTTGAATTTATCTGATATATTTATTTCTAATTTTTTGTCAACTTGCTTTACATTTTTGTGTTTTAGTTTCTTCTGCTTATTCTTATTGATTCTCTGTTGGGTTTTGCTGTCTTTGTATAAATTATCATGTTGCTTTTGTTATCAATATTATTTATTGTTCCTATTGAAAAGCAGTTTTGTGCATCTTTTACTTGTTTATAAAATGCACTATTAATACCATTGCTGATATAAATATCCTTAATCTTAGTCTAAATCTGTAATAAACTTGACATTTATTCCTCTGTGTAGCAGGTTTTAATTGTGATGATGTTCAGAAAGAAGTGATACCGCACAAAAGATGAAGACTAAAAAAAGGAGTACAGCTTACAATAAATAATTTAACAGTGTTTGTTATTTTAATTATAAATAAACAAGTATGCATTTTTGGCATTTCTGTAAACTTCCACACAAGCCGGGGGTAAGATGCTGCAGCTTTTATGTGGAAGCCCCTGTTGTTTTAAAGAAGAGGATCTGCTCAGGGAGCAATCTGTATCATCACACCTTATAGTTGTTGCAGAAAATTGTGTGCTCAGATTAAACCGTATATTCTGTACTAAGTTAAGCCACAAGTTAGTTGTGATTCAGTACTCTCAGACATTGAGTCTAATCATGGTCATTTGGCTGAAGTAGTGGTTGACGTGTTTAGAGGAGCAGCCCTGCCTGTGTGTATTTCAAGGAGCCAGGCAGAATGTGTGTGCAGAGTAACATGAGATGATAACCATAATATATTCTGGTAGCAGAAATCTGCCTTCTAGTATTGAGCTTCAGTTCAAGGAGAAGTGAGCGGTTCTTGCTGTACAGTACTGACCGTTCTTCATTTGCAAAATTGCAGACTATTTAGGGCAACTGAGGGACAAGGTTAACTAGAAAGACTGTTCCAGCTCATAATGAAGGAAGGATTAAAGGCTGAAGGATGCCAAGAACAGCAAACAAACCAGATATCAATCACTGCCCACTTCCTTATCAAGCTGTTATTTACAGAAGTAATAAAGGAGCATTGGATGCTTGTAGTTTATTTTTAATAACAACGTGAAGCGCTCCCCGTCATACTAAACCAGAAACTTTCTCTGAAATAGAGGACATACTTTGTAAAGCGATATTTTATTATTTTGTCTCCTTCCCCCCCCCCCCCCCCCCCAGATAATAGCAGCATATGTATTTTGCTTTCTGCAAAACAAAATATGCAGACTAACCCCTGATAGGACAGCATAAAATACAGCTATAAAATGAGAAAACCTCCTAACGTCTACATCCAGTGTAGTTCTCTGCATATACGTATATATCTTTGGCAATTGGAAGTACTATTACTATTATTTTCCATTATTTCATTGAAGATTACTGTGGTAGACAGGACTCGTGTGTTACAGTCAGCCTCAGCAGACTGGAGGTGTGAGGCAGTTTAAATGTTGTGTATGAAAACATCATCCTACCTTCAGTTTATTTATCCTCAACACACAGGAGGAGCAAGCAAGAAAAATACTTCTGTCTGACAAATACATTTATCTCATGCTGTGTGTGTGTATGTGTGTGTTAGGCTGGTTGTTGGAGCGCTGGAGATAAATTATGTGCCGACTTTACATGAAGAACCCGCCTCCACATCACTCTGTCCTTCAGTATCTCCTGCTGAAAGAGGTTCCTGACCTCTTAAAACCATTCTGCTGCATTCATATCCAGCCTGTTGGACTGAAGCGTCAGTGTCGTGTTAAACATACTCCAGAAAGAATATAATAGCTTGGTTTGCAGACTGCTGTTTTAGCATAACAGGTGTGTTCACAATCTATCTCTGACAGCTAAGATACAGCAAAAGGCTTCACTAAACCTCAATCAGTTAAAAGCTGCACCACCAACACCTGTGTGTTTAAGATTCGTTAGCCACACACAGATAAATCTCTTCTGCTCTGCAGATTTAATGCGAACCGTCTTTTGGCAAGCGCTCTGAGCCCTGACTCTTTTATCCCTCCTGTTTTCAGTCCACAGTAGTTTTTACAAACAATCTAGCTAAAGGATTACGGTGAGTTTAGATGTCAGTAAGAAGCTGTTGGATTTCTGGGAGTAGTGTGACATCTGGAGAATGTGTATCGGGGTTAGTTCAAGCAACGAAGCATGAAAGTCAGCTGTGTGCTCTCAGCATTGGTGCTATGGCTCTATTTATTTAAGGACAGTTTGAACCTCTGTTGTGGCCTTGAATTTATTTCCCAGCCTCTCTGGTTGACAGCACGGACCAAAGCATTTTAAATCAGCTTGACTGGTGGCATGGTGGCTCGCTGGTAGAGCTGCTGCCTCAGTGACTAGGTCGCCAGATCAAATCCCAGCCAGGGACCTTTCTAGGTGGATTTTGCATGTTCTCTCCGTGCAGGTTAGGTACTCTGATTTCCTTCCACAGACCAAAAACATGCATGTTAGGCTGATTGGTAACTTTAAACTATCCCTAGGTGTGAGTGAGAGAGTGAATGGTTGTCTCATTTATCTCCATGTGTCCCCTCCTGTGATGGACTTGGACCTGTCCAGGGTGTCCCCCGCCTCTCGCTCAATGACTGCTGGATATGGACACCAGTGATCCCTGTGACCCAAAAAGGAAGAAGCGGGTAAAGATAATGGATGGACGTCAACCGCTGTTGCATGTACATAGCTGTGAGGAAAAGTAAATGTTTGTTTGCTAGGTGATTTCTTCTCTTTATAGAAGAATTTACTTAAGGTTTTTGGAAAGTGTTACTTATACAGTCTGTTTCCATAGTTAGTGTGTAAACATGTGTAAGCATGTAACTTGAAAACGTGTCAAGTCTCTTTTGTTGTGACTTGGCTCTATGTGCAGAAACTGAATTGATTTGAAATTGACAAATTGTGTCAATTAAGAGTGAAAATCCAAATAATTTAGGACTGATAAAGTGAAGGTTTATTATGCAGTCAGCTTTTACATACATTATATAAACATCTAAACATCATCATAAGCTAAAAAAAATATATGAAAATAGTAATTAAATGAATCATTGCACTATTCTATTTATCCTGTTTAAGGTATTTTAGACAAAATAAATAGTTTTTACTGTATTTATAAAGAAGACAAACTTGAAACAAAAAATTTCAATAAAAAAATCAAATTAAGATTGGTTAAATTAAATATTTCTTTAGATAGAGAACTTTACTAATTGGCTTTTCTAAGTATGTGTATGTTCCTGCAAAGTGCCCTGAGACATCTTTGTTTTGATATGGTGCTATATAAATAAACTGAATTGAATTGAATTAAAAATAAGCTGTGAGATAATGGCACTGTCTGTCAGTAAATGAAAAGCAGGAGATGTTTTTGAAATATAATTTACTGTTTCTTCCCCGTGTCATCCCCCCTCCTCGTCCCAGGGTGTATTAACCTTATCTTGACCCAGATAATGGCTCCTCAGTCTTCAACTTATATGGGTCAGCTCAGCCCTCACGCTCCTGTTTCCTGGAACTGAAAAGTGATGTCAAAATAAATGTCCTTGTTTTTGCTCTTCTGTAGCCACTTGTTTGATTGCAGAAAATTGTCCTGAAATGCTATAATAATTACTTTTGAGTGTTATTTCCCTTCATGGGAAATAATGTTCTTTGTAGAAAGAAGTCTAATATAAGTCATCAGTATACAATTTGTGTTCTGCAAACTGGAAGCTCCCACTTTTTTCTCCCCTTCGTGGAGCGAAGAGGAGACTTTAAATACAATACCACTATTCACTTGTCTGTCTGTTCTACTTACGAGCTGGATATCTTGAAAAATGAGATGCTGGCTTTCATTTTGGTGTGGCTTCATCTAGGTTTAAGAAAGAGTACTATCGAAAATCAGGTTTCCATGTCACAATCCTAGATGGCTAGATCCTAGATATTTATTTTTTTATTTTATTGATTAACCTTTATTTAACCAGGTACATCCCACTGAGACCACTGATCTTTTTTACAAGGGAGGCCTGGGACTGAAGGCAGCCTAACATGCATGTTTTTGGTCTTTGGGAAGAAACTGGAGTACCCGGAGAAAACCCATGCAAGCACGAGAAGAACATGCAAACTCCACACACAAAGACCTCAGGTCCAACCGGGGATTGAACCCAGGACCTTCTTGCTGTGAGGCAACAGTGCTAACCTCTGAGCCACATATGTAAACTGGCCACACCATTAATTTGAAGAAACTATACTTTCTAGTTTTTATCCATCCATCCATTATTTTTTACCCTCTTCTTCCAGCTGTCACTGTGCGAGAGGCGGGGTACACCTGGACAGGTCTCCAGTCCATCACAGGGACACATAGAGACAAACAACCATTCACTCTCTCACTCACAGTTACCAGTCAGCCTAACATGCATGTTTTTGGTCTGTGGGAGGAAACTGGAGTACCCAGAAAAAAACCATGCATGCACAGACAGAACATGCAAACTCCACTCAGAAAGGTCCCCGGCCGGGATTCGATACAGCAACCTTCTCGCTGAGAGGCAGCAGCTCTACCAACTGTACCACCGTGCCATCCTATAGTTTTTATATTGCTTAAAATTATAGTTCCCTCAAATGATTGTTGGGGTGGTCAAAGATTAGTCTATTGGGGCCAAGGCCACCACTGGCCACCCCTTGGCGCCGTCATTGCACCAGGTGGTGGATAAAATAGCTCCCTCCATTTGCTAGAATCCATCGCTCTACTCCACCTCAGGCAAGCAAAAATACATTAAAATACATTTCTACTTATGCACAGTGTAACTCCTACCCTCTTGAATATCTTGCACCAAAAACATTAAGATAAGATAAGATGAGATAAGATAAGATAAGATAAGATAAGATAGAACTTTACTGATCTTGCAAGAAATTAAGGTTTACTTGCATTCCCTGTTCAATTCCAGTCCAGAAAAACTAAACTTTCACAATTCAAATCCCTCAACGATGGCAAACACTGACGCACTGCTTGCTCTGTGTTGTTTCCCGCTGGAGATCTAACTGTATTTGAATATGGCATGAAAATAAAATAAACAAAACTCCTTTGTAACGTTTATTTTCCCATCTATTCTTTGTGTTTTTGTCTGTATAGAAAAGCTCGCTGAAGCCCAGAGACGATTTGCGACGCTGCAGTACGAGCTGCAGTCGTCACTGGACGCTCAGCGGGAGAACGTCACTCCGCCGGGTCTGCGGAAACGCAAGACTATGTTCCACCTATCCCAGGAGGAGCGCTCCCAGCACCACAACATCAAGGACCTGAAGCTAGCCTTCAGCGAGTTCTACCTGAGCCTCATCCTGCTCCAGAACTACCAGGTCTTCACAGCACTTACTCCTAAACCCTGCTCACACGTTTTTACAGAGTTTAATAAAGTTCTTTAGAGACAACAAGGCCTTGTCACGCTTGGTTTCCTCAGAACCTGAACTTCACTGGATTTCGTAAGATCCTGAAGAAACATGACAAGATTCTGGACACGACTCGTGGGGCCGACTGGCGGGTGTCTCACGTGGAGGTGGCACCTTTTTACACCTGCAAGAAGATCACACAACTGATCACCGAGACTGAGGTGCCCACTCATATTTGCATTAACACACACCTGTAACCTCTGATAGAGGTTCATCCCAGTACATCAAACCAAACAAAACATATACACATTTTTATTTTACTTTAGACCCTGGTAACTACAGAGCTGGAGGGAGGAGATCGCCAGAAAGCCATGAAGAGGTTGAGAGTTCCTCCACTTGGAGCAGCTCAGGTTAGATCATTCAGAGCTGTTGTCATTTGTTTGCAGATGGGCAAGTATTAACAAACTATATTTTAGTGTTTTGTGCACAAAAAGTCATTGAATGCGTAATGTACTTCACTTTTCTTTGTTGTACAGTATTTGATATGACATCAGGAGGAAGAAAACGTGTCAGCTAATATTCTGTAGCCAATTGTTTTAGTAGTTTGTTTTTACTTTTTTTATCTTCATCTGGTGATGAAGCCATGATACAAACAATGTGAGGGTTTTCATGAGGGAAGTAAGAGGAAGTTTTCAGAGAGAGAGAAACCATCAACGCCTTCATTATTGATTTTATAAGTACTTCTTTGTTGAACAGACAAGAAAACATTAAGAAATAATACTAGATATAAATCAGTTCAATTCAGTTTATGTGTATAGCGCCAAATCACAATAGAAGTTGTCTCAGGGCATTGAACAGAAACATTCGCATACATACAAAAGCCAGTTAGTAAAAATAATCTTATCTAAGGAAGGAAGCCTGCAGATTGTGTTGAATCTTCACATCATCATAGTCTCCTATCTTGAGCAAGCACAAAGGCAACAGTGGAAAGGAAAAACTTCCTTTTAACAGGAAGAAGCTTCCAGCAGAACCAGGTTCAGGACAAGCAGCCATCTACTGGTAATTTGACCGGCTGGGGTTTGAGGACAGGAAGGAGAAACAAACACACAATGGTAGGTGCAGATGTAGGATAGAAATAATTACAAATACAAAACAGGTAGATTAAGTAAAGACAGCAGCAGAGTGAAGAAATGTGGTCAGTTTGTCCTCCAGCAATCAAAGCCTATAGCATCTGAGCCAAGGGATAGCTCAGGAAACCCAAGCCAACCCTAACTATAGGAGTAAAGTAAAAGGACAGACTTAATGCCAGTCTTAAAACTGGACAATGTGTCAGCCTCACGGACAGAAACTGGAAGTTGGTTCCACAAGAGAGGAGCCTGATAACTGAAAGAGCTTGCTCCCATTCTGCTTTTGGAAACTTTAGGAACCACAAGTAAACCTGCAGTCTGAGAGCGAAGTGCTCTGTTAGGAAAATATGGAAAATAAGGAAAATATTATATAGAACATAATGCTACTTTGTAGATCATTGATCCAATTGTCTCTAAACGTATATTGGATGTATTTAAATACAATAAATAGAATGAAAAAACCTTGTAATCTCATTTAATCTGTGGACAGTGTTAAGGTATGTATTGACCATATTTCTGTTTTTCTCTGCTTGGCTCAGCCTGCTTTGGCCTGGACAACTTTTCGAGTCGGTCTGTACTGCGGCTTCTTCGTCATTCTCGCCATCGCCTTTGTTCTCACAGGTAAGCGACTCAAAGATTCATGTATTTATTTAATGTTCTTTTGATTTATTTTTCTTGATCTCTGATGTTTCTTTGTAAAATATTTAGTCACTTTAAACTGGATACTTTTGATGTTGTATTTCACATTTCTTTTCAAATGTTGCGTTTCATTTTTGAAAAAGAATTGTGTGCTGTGGTTTGGTTTTATTAGGTGCTGTGTTCATCCGTTTTGAGAACGTGTGGCCTCTGGTGCGGATCTACCGCGGTGGTTTCCTGTTGATCCAGTTCCTTTTCCTGTTGGGCATTAACACTTACGGATGGAGACAGTATGGAGTCAACCATGTGCTCATCTTCGAGATCGATCCCCGAAACAACCTGTCACACCAACACCTGTTTGAGGTAAAGCCACATGCAAACACATCTGTCTCTGTTTGATGAAGAGGGCCCTGAGCCTGAATGTATTGTGTTATAAAATAATTTATTTATCAAAAGCGATATAGTCCTGATGTTTACATGGTAAAAATTTTAAGCCCTTACAAAAACAGAATACATTTTATACTGTTTATATGGTTTCAGATTATCCTGTTGAGTAAAGTTTCGGAGCATATTTCCTTTAATTCATCTCTGTCTGTCTCCTCTGTCTGTGCTGCAGATTGCTGGCTTCCTGGGCGTGTTGTGGTGTCTCAGCATCCTCTCGTGTCTCTACTCCGAGTACATCTACCTCTCCATGCAGATCAACCCTCTGGTTCTTTACGGCTTCATGGTGCTCTTTCTCATCAACCCATTCAAAACCTGCTACTACAAGTCACGCTTCTGGCTCCTCAAGCTACTGGTTGGTCAATTAATTAATCAAATAGTTCTTTGTTCATCGGCTTCCTTTTAATGCATCTGAAGATGTGCCAGTCTATGGTCGTGGATTGAATGATGGGTGAAATTGAAACCAGATTAAAGCAAGATGCTAAAAGTCAATGAAAGTGTACAACTATTAGAGAGCAGGTCTGCTGTGTTCTAACATAAGGCACAAAGAAACAGAGGCTTTTTGTTGTAGGCAGGGTTCCTGTGCAGCCTTACAAAGTGTTGAACAAAAAAAATGGAGTCTGGACGAATATTTGTGTTTCCAAACTTTATTATTTTAATAAAGATAAAGTACGTCAAAGTATGCTTTCTATGTTGTCTATTTTAAATAAACAGCAAAGTGCTTGTCACATTTAGGATATAAAATATTGACATGGAGTACAGTGCAAAAAACTTTGAAACAGTTCTAATTTTGAAAAACTGTACTTTGCAAATTCCTTTACATTTGTTGCATTATCTGCAACTGGTGTGACTCAAGTTACCTCAGCCCTAAAGCATTGACTGCTTTATTTATTTCACTCTGATTCAGAATATAATTTTACAAAGTTGTCCTCATGTTGATGGATGGATGGATGGATGGATGGATGGATGGATGGATGGATGGATGGATGGATGGATGGATGGATGCGGACGGACGGGCAGGCAGACGAGCGGATGTGCGGACGGGCAGATAGATAGATAGATAGATAGATAGATAGATAGATAGATAGA